ACATACTCAGGATCCGGGCTCGAGTGCTTTCGCGGTGGGCGGGGGCTCCACTCCGGAGCCCGCTTCACCTCGCAAGTCCTGGAGAGGAGCCGAGCATGTCAGTTGTCTTGTGTCCGGGTCTCCGGGAGAAGCTCTTACTGTCCCGATCTCCCGCCTTTCCCCGCCCGGCCCTGCAGCAGCTCGTTGGCGTCAGCTGACAAGGCGGTGGCCAGGGGCTTGGGGAGGCGGGATCGAGCGGCGGGGTCCCAGGTCCTGGCCTTGTGGCGTCCCCCTCTCTCTGGCTCCCTGAGGATAATGCAGTGTAACGGGAAAGCTAGGAAGAGGAAAGGGGAAGTAACGCCCAGCCGCTCTCAGCGGTGCCCCGCCGTTTAGCATTCTCCTGCTCTGCCTTAGTAGGGCCGGTCCTCCTCCTTGATCCCTCACTGTAACACCCACCCATCGGGCCCGCCAGGCCACCCCCCGGGAGGTGTTTTCTCTAAGCACACACCGTGAGGGCCCGTCTCTGTCTCTGCAGAGTATGCAGACAAACCCTTGGAGAAGCCCCTGAAGCTGGTTCTCAAGGTTGGAGGAAGTGAAGTGACTGAACTCTCGGGATCTGGCCACGATTCCAGTTACTACGATGACAGGTCAGACCATGAGCGAGAGAGGCACAAAGAAAAGAAGAAGAAAAAGAAGAAAAAGTCAGAGAAGGAGAAATACCTGGACGATGACGAAAGAAGGAAACGGAAGGTAAAGGAGGGTGGCTGCCCCTAAGCCCCCGGGGGTGGGGCATACAGAATGAGTGCTCCAGGGCTTAGGAAAGGGGTGATTTGTTTGAAGCAAAACAGACCACAAAGGTAGTTGCTTCATTTCTGGCTCTTTGAGCATCGCCTCTCCCTTGACCCCTGGGGAGGGTCTTTGCAAGGGTGGGAGTCTGGAGTGAGAAGAGTCTCTGGAAGAGGGTGTTTCTCTCTTAGCTTTGTGTTTCCCCTTAGAAACAGTTTGTTTAAAACTGTTTGCATTGCTCTCCCTGCCTTGACTTTGCCTCACAGGAAGAGAAGAAGCGGAAACGTGAAAAGGAACACTGCGACACGGAGGGAGAGGCTGATGACTTTGATCCTGGGAAGAAGGTAGAGGTGGAGCCACCTCCCGATCGGCCAGTCCGAGCGTGCCGGACACAGCCAGGCAAGTGCTGGCATTTTCAAAGACTTTCTTGGAGTGGGAGCTTGGTACTGTGCCCTTCAGCTTTGGGGGAGAAGCACAGAAGGAAGGAGCAGTGTTTTCTCTTCCAAGGTCTCACACGAAATATAGCTGGGTCTGAGATTCTTTACTATTATTATTATTAAATGAAGGGGTTGACTTTATTGTTGTTAATCCTCATCTGAGGATATTTTTCCATTGATTTTTTTAGAGAGAGTGTAAGGGAGAGGAGAGACAGAGAGAAACATTGATGTGAGAGAGAGAGACATCGTTTGGTTGCCTCCCACACGAGCCCCGACCAGGGCCAGGGATCGAGCCTGCAACCTAGGCATGTGCCCTTTGTCCGGAATCAAACCCAGGACCCTTCAGTCCGGGGGCCGATGCTCTATCCACTGAGCCAAACTGGCTAGTGCAGGATCCGAGATTCTTGCCATCATCTTCGAACTTCTAGAGCAGCGGTTTCTCAACCTGTGGGTCGCGACCCCTTTGGGGATCGAACCACCCTCTCACAGGGGTCGCCTAAGACCATCGGAAAACACATATATAATTACATATTGTTTTTGTGATTAATCACTATGCTTTAATTATGTTCAATTTGTAACAATGAAAATACATCCTGCGTATCAGATATTTACAGTATGATTCATAACAGTAGCAAAATTACAGTTATGAGGTAGCAACGAAAATAATTTTATGGTTGGGGGTCACCACAACGTGAGGAACTGTATTAAAGGGTCGCGGCATTAGGAAGGTTGAGAACCACTGTTCTAGAGCATGGTTTGGCCAACTGCTGCTCCTGGCTTTTTTCTTTAAGCACATGAGCTAAGAAGCTCATCGTAGATGGGAGGAGGCTAGTTTTCCATCAGTTATTCAGGACTTCAGAACCTGGGAGCTGTGCTGGCTGCACCAAAGGAGAGCTCCCAGAACCCTCTGATCTGTGTGTGGTCACTTCCCTCAAGGCTTCCAGATGGTTAGGAAGCTTGTTCTTCAGGGAGTTCTTTTCTTGCTCAGGGGGTCGGAGGTATTATATCGCAGTCATGGCGGGTGCTGTTTTCTAGCAGTACCCTCCCCTGTATGAGTCATGCCATGGTGAACGGGTAGGACTTGTGGCTGCTGAGCTTGTTGAGAAGAGAAGGTCAGGTGCAAACAACATTTCATTAAATGAATGTGTCTACCAAGTTAGTACAGTCACTGGTAATTGTTAGCTTGATCTGACTTCTTCCTTGAGGTCATACACTGGTGCTCCTCTTCTCCCCCCCCCCCCCCCGCCCCCATATGTCTGAAGAACTAATGATCACATGATGCTTTCTTGGTCACTGTTGGGGACTTGCTGGTCTGCACTCCTCTTGTGCTTCGGCCTTGGTTCCTCAATGGAGAATGGCATTTAGAAAACCAAGTCTGGGTCCTGGGTGTAGCCCTCAGTGGACAGAGCTAGGAAAGGCCATTTACATACATACAACTTGTAGAGGGAAACTAAACTGACATCTGTGTTTACATTCACCAAAAACCATGTTTTCACAAGTGTGCCCAGAGATGTAGCTAATAACTGCAGTGCTCGCAATAACCCGTGTAGTGTGTGTTCCTATCCCCATTTCACACATGAAGAGCAGGCATATGCAGACATTTAGGACTGTCAAGTGAAATGACAGTTGGTTAATCCAGGATCAGCTTCTATATCCAAAGCCTTTGTTCTCCCCTTCATACCTTGTCTGGAATGTACCAGGCCCTTTGATGATAGGCGCTAGAAATAGATTGATGACTGATATCTATGTGTTGTTTTAAGGGATATTGGCACTCGGTTTTGGGGACTGATGTGTGAGTGTCCTTTCTACCCAGCTGAGCTTTGGGGGGAGGGGGAGCAAGGCTGGGTCTGGTTTATCTTTGTATCCAGTTCTTATTTGAACTTTCTTATTAAAATGCTGTGGAACTCGAAACAAGTAAGTACGTACTGTGAAATTGGAGCTCTCCAGTGAAGTGTTATCAAAATCTTCTTGTTCAATTTATTTTTTTCTACTTTTTAAATCATCAGCTGAAAATGAGAGCACGCCTATTCAGCAACTACTAGAACATTTCCTCCGCCAGCTCCAGAGGTAAAGAGTGTTTCTAAAGAGCTTGTGCTTGGGGACATTTGGGTGTCCTTCTCTATGTCTGAGGTGTTCTTGCCCTCACCACCATCACATGTGAAGTAGACACTTGCCTTTCACTGGTAATGCCCAATCTGGACTGGGTGGCAGGCATGTGGGCAATGTGGGGGACTGTCAGAGATGCTATGATGTAGATGTCATAGCTGCAGCCAGGATGCTAGTTTTGGAATTTTTTGTGTATTCAAAAATACCTACCACGATTTTAAAGAGCATAAATTTTATTTTTTATTGCTAAGAAACAAACTTTGGTCAATTAACATTTTTATTGTGAAGGATTTTGTATCATTCAGAAATTTAGGTTTTAGGGGTTTCCAGTTTAAATAAAGATGTTTTTGTTTTCAGAAAAGATCCTCATGGGTTTTTTGCTTTTCCTGTCACGGATGCAATTGCTCCTGGATACTCAATGATAATAAAACATCCAATGGATTTTGGCACAATGAAAGACAAAATCATGGCTAATGAATACAAATCAGTCACGGAATTTAAGGTAAATTAATTTAGTTCCTAAAATAATTGTTTGGAAGCTCTGTATTAGTTTATGTCCAGTAAATGCTTCATTCATCTTAGGTCATTTCCAGTTGCAAGTTTTCACAGGTGTTTCTGTGTTCGGGTTGAAGTTTCACACAGCATCAAGGAAATGGGTTGGTTGTAATTTTCTTTGTATTTTGGTCTAGAACAGTGATTTTCAATCTTTTTCATCTCATAACATGCATAAACTAATTATTAAAATTCTGTGGCGCACCAAAAAATATATTTTTTGCTGATCTGACCAAAAAATAGCTATAATTTTGATTCATTCACACCAGACGGCTATTGTTGTGTTGGGGGCTGTCATTTTATAAAAATTCTTTATTGTTGAAACTATTACATGTCATTTATTTATTTATTTGACAATCTAAGTGAAAAGAAATCAGTGGCCCTGGCCAGTGCGCTCAGTGGTTAAGAGCATGGGCCCAGCCCTAACCAGTTTGGCTCAGTGGATAGAGCGGGGGTGTGCAGGAGGCAGCTGATCGATGTTTCTAACTCTCTATCCCTCTCCCTTCCTCTCTGTAAAAAATCAATAAAGTATATTTTTTTAAAAAAAAGAGCATGGGCCCATGCACCGAAGGGTCATGGATTCAATTCCCCGTCAAGGGCATGTACCCGGGTTGCAGGTTTGATCCCCCGTCCCAGTCAGGGTTGGAAGGCAACCAGTCGATGTGTCTTTCTCACATCGATGTCTCTCCCTCTCTGTCTCCACCTTTCTCCTTCCCTCCCTTCCTTCCACTCTAAAAAAATCAATGGGAAGAAAAAACGAGGTCAGTGCCCCTGACTAAACTAATCAGGTATTGCATGTTTTAAAAATTCTTGCGGCACAGTGTTTGAAAATATCTGGTTTAGAAGCTGGCCCATAGGTTACATGCTATTTGAAATGCATTTCCATTTTTTTTTTAAGTTCCTGTGTTGGCATAATAGAGGCATGTTAGGTCAAGCAAGGATGTGTCTTATTTGGCCTGGTTCCAGAATGGGTATTTTTTGAAATATAATTTTCCTAATTCTTAGTTTTGTTTTGTAACAACTGGGTTTTATAGAATAATAAATTCTTACATCCCTTGAGTGCTTTGCTCTTAACTCCCTTTCTTAGCACCGCCTGTGAGAGGTAGAAAGCATGAGGGGAATAAAAGCAAATGCTTGGTCACATTGGCAGTAGTGCTATTTAGAAAAGGCCATTAGGCTTCTTTCTTAGGTCTGTCAGCTTCAGGGAAAGCTTGGCTTTTCTCTATTTACTGGAGACGTCACTGAAAGGGTGTGCTGACCTGCAGAAAAAATACGACAGACTAGAAGGATAGTAGGAGAAAAGGAAAGTTTTCACAGGAGGGTCCCCTAAACTCCAGAGGGCAGGTGGTAACAGTGATCCAGGCCATAAAGTCCTCTGCCTTTTCTGACTGAGGCCCCCAATTTGGTCTCTCACCCAGTGACAAAGCCACGGTGGGAGCAATGTTCACCCTATCTCTTGTCCTCAGGAAAGTGGTTGTTTTTTTATTGATTGATAAAATTATGTGTTTTGGGTGTACAATTCTATAATACGCCATCTGTATAATGTATTGTGTTCACCACACCAAGTCAAGTCTCCTTCCATCACCATTTATCTGCCCTTTACCCTCCTCTACCTCACTCTACCCCCTTTCCCTCTGGTAATCACCAGGCTGTTGTCTGTGTCTATAAAGTGTTTGTTTAATCCCTTCATCTTTTTCACCCAGCCCCACATCCCCCCTCTCCTCTAGCAGCTGTCAGTTTTCTATCTATGAGTCTGTTTCTATTTTGTTAATTTTATTCGTTAGATTTCACATATGAGTGAAATCACATGGCACTTGTCTTATGGATATGGAGAGAGCATTATGTTAAGTGAAACAAGCCAGTCAGAGAAAGATGTCAGGAGTGTTCTGAACCTGACACAGGTGCGACCTGTGACGGACAGGGACTTCATAGCCTCAGTTCCAGCCCTGGGGACGCTGGCACAGTGACTTGGTAAGATCCCTGGATAGCATGTGCTATGTTGGTGTGTGGCTTCAGTGGTCATTGTCCATCCTGATGTCTAACTCACCTGTGATAGCTGTGTGCTACGTAATTTGGTTAGGATGTTAAAATACTGATGTTTTAAGTCATATAAATTGTTCAATAAAAGTGTCCATATTTTAGTCTTTTTCTGATAGCACTAGAATAACTATCTGTAGACAGAATTTTAAATTCCATGGAAAAACCACAGAGAGAGAACATATGACTATGTCCACCTCTCAGTTCGCCCTGGACTTTCACTTAACTTAGCTGTTGGTTCTTGCTCCTATTTATGTCTGAGTTCCTCCCCAAGAGAGAGGAGAGGGCTGGAGATGGGAATGAAGCAGAGGGAGCCATCATCTTCTTCTCATGAAGTGTGGGTACAGTAAAACCTCTATATAACGGACTAATTCAGGCAAGGGGTGTCTGTTAAAGCCTGAAGTCCTTTATATAGTAAAGCAGGTTTTCCAAGTGCATATGTTAAGAAATTGACAAATTAGTTTATCTGCTTATGTAGACACATTTGTATAATTAAAATTAAGTATGTATGAAAAGTTTAATTTCACAGAAAAGTTTCCTGTATGTATTATTATAATTTTAAATTTCTACTGAAAAGGTCTAGTAAGTGCGTGCATTAACCAGTCACTGCGAATGAACAAATGCACGTGGCTGGGCATGCCTTAGTGCTAGTTGGAGCATTATGGCCTGCATGCTTTAAAACTGCTGCAAAAAGTCATGCCATGGGACGACAGAACCAATTACTGCAAGCAGTGCAGTATCACGTGCTAATCATTTGCTGAACGTTGTTTACGAATGGTGACTCTTGGATTTAACTATTACTGTAGATATGTAATATTTATTTATGTTGGTGAAATTACAGTGTTTTTTCCAACATATGGCCTATTTGCTAAAATTTGTTAAAATTAACAGTGAATTTAAAAAAACAACACCCTATTTAATTATAAGCAAATCTTGGTTAAAAGCATTTTAAAATTAACGGGGTGTTAATTTTCAAATATGACATTTGGAACAGAAATTTTGTTTGTTAAATCAAGATCCACAAAATCAAGGGTTTACTGTATTATGCTCAAAAAAAGTACAGGCTTTGTTTTAAAGATGAATGAACAATTATGAAAATTTCTCTGAAAGAGTTTTAAAGTTAATTTTTTAATCAAAGAGCCAAATTAAATTGTTTTTTACTAATTTCCAGCTCTTCATTTTTGCCCCTTTGACAGGAATTTAAACTCTTTGCTGTTGTCTGGGTGATGTTTCAAACTTGATGATTTTTTTCTTTCAGGCAGATTTCAAACTGATGTGTGATAATGCAATGACATACAACAGACCAGACACTGTGTACTACAAGTTATCTAAGAAGATCCTTCACGCAGGCTTTAAGATGATGAGCAAAGTAAGAAAGCCACTAATGGCGAGGAGCCACAGAAACGAGAGTTCTCCTCTACGTTGTTTATGCCTAAACAGAAACTCACAGTGAATGACATGCTTCCATCTTTCCGTCACTGGCCACGGCGTGGACCCCTCTGCTCTAGGGTAGACACCCCAGGCTGCCCCCTCCATGTCCCTCTCCTCCAGGCACTCTCCTCTTTCTGTTCCTGCTCCTGTCCTAGCTGTAACGTCTCTGTTAGGGTGGGTGGGAAGTTCTGGATCTGTTGATCTCAAGTCTAGATGTCTGTCTCTCTGGACTGCCACTAGCCTTTTGGGTTTGTTTTGTATGGCTGCCTCACTGAATCAGCCAGGACATCCTGGCCATCCTGAGTGGCTTCCCAGATCTGTACTGTGAGCCATGTTGCATGTGTCACATGTCTAGGACCAGTGCCTTGCGCCTGATGAGCCTGTGGGTGAGGTGCAGCCCTGTGCCCTCTGGCCTGTTCCCTTCTGCCGGCTCTGAGCGCTCACCAGCTAATTCGCTGCACCCTTTGGTGCTGACCCCACGACCACCTCCCGCTGCACTGCATGGAAAGTTAGCTGTTAGGCCAGGTGAGGCTGTGGCCATCCCCATCCCATCCCATCGTCATGGCGCCTTGGCTGTGAGGGAGAGGTAAAGTCGTGCTGCTCTGTCCTTTCTGATTCTAGGAGCGGCTGTTAGCTTTGAAGCGCAGCATGTCGTTTATGCAGGACATGGATTTTTCTCAGCAGGCAGCTCTTCTGGGCAACGAAGACACAGCTGTTGAGGAACCAGTTCCCGAAGTTGTACCTGTACAAGTAGAAACTGCTAAGAAATCCAAAAGGCCGAGTAGAGAAGTCATCAGGTAAAGAGAAGTGCACTCGCCTGTGGAGTAGGACGCCCATCTTGGGAAGGCGGGTGCTCCCTGGGAGAGCAGGTTAGGGACACCGGCCTGTGTTTCCGCTCTATCTCTGGAGTAGGTTAGGGACAGGCTGCTTGTGCAGCCTGATGGGCAGAGCACAGCTCCTCAGAAGCTTAGGTTTATGTTTGGAGGCACATGACCATCCTTCCTGCCCACCTTGAGAGTTAGGTGACCATCGTGTGTGGATAATGAATGTCACCATTGTCACTGGAAGGTGTTGGAAGACCATGGGACCCCACAGTCAGTTCTGGGAGGAGTGATAGTTTGCTGTGTGACCCTACTCTCCTACAGTGAGCATAGTAACTTGTCCTGGAGGAGAGTCAGTGTCACACTGATGGACACAGAAACCAAAAGGGCTGAGACAATCCCTGCTGTATGCACACATGCTCTGTCCCAGGTGTGACACAGTGAGCTCATCTGTCCAGCCCTGCAGTGTGTCTACTATCACTGCTGTTCCCACATGTGTCCTATTTATGAATATTTGTTGGTTCTACTTCCAAGAAGCCTCCTTACATTCAGGACACCTGCTGGTGACCTGGGTTTGCCTGTCCCAGGCTCAGGGAACAAAATTGTGTCACGTTGGACAGACAATACACATGACAACATGCATTTCTCACCGTGCTCCCTGAGCTCCCTGCTCCTTTAGCTATGAATGCTGGTCTGGAGGAAGGGCTTGCTATAAGCTCAGGATCCCTAGGCAGGGCTTGATCCCATGGTTCCTTGAAGGGGTCCCACCCACTGCTTCTAGAACCTTCCACAGCAGAGGCCATCTCCCTTCGGTGCTGCACCTCTCAGCTTTTTGAATCAAGAACTCTACTGGAACCTGAGGCTGGCCTGCTAAAGTCTTGGGGAGTCCCTGTGCCTTGCAGTGGGGGCTGCTCTTCAGCCCAGCAAGCAGCCTTGTGTTCCCAGCCTCAGCTCACCACCAGCACCTCAACCCTCCACAGGATTTTTGCCACTTTTTCTAATGGTGCCTTGAATGATGCTTTAACCAGTGAGGCTGCTGTTATGTGATGTTTCTTCTGTTTTTCTTAAAGCAACTGAGGAGAAATATAGAAAGTTTACTTGGCTTACACTTTTCATCTTAGTGAAAGAGTCATGTTTTAAGTGGTTAGAACTAAAAGGAAAGGGAGCAAAAGTGCACTTTGTGTCACTCCTACTGGCCCTTTGTGTGACTCGGGGGGGCAGTAGGGACTGACCACAGTGGGGAGGGATGAGGTGTGTGCTGTTGCCTCTTGGTGACGTGTGTGTTCCTGCCTTGTAGCTGCATGTTTGAGCCAGAAGGAAATGCTTGCAGCTTGACTGACAGCACAGCAGAAGAACATGTGCTGGCCTTGGTGGAGCACGCAGCAGACGAGGCTCGGGACAGGATCAACCGACTCCTTCCAGGTGGCAAGGTAGTGCTCCCTGGCTGGTGGGTGTGTTTTCTGCCAGAACATTGGCACAGCCGTCAGAATCAAGACATTAACGTCAGGATGTTACAAGTGTCTAGTCCAAGCTCCGTTGCTTTCATGGAGTGAGCACATGCTACAATCAGGGTCAGCTCCTTGTCCTCACTGGCCATTGTAGCCACTAGCCCCATCTCATGGAGGCTAAAGGGGTCCTCCAGATGCCTGGGTCAGGCGTTTGTTACCCTCCATCACACCACGGCTGAGCCTGCCAGCTTCTCTGCTGCAGGTTAATTCTTTTCCCTGTGTGTACTCACGTCTATGTGTGCCCCTGCAGTCACTCATGGGTCTGACCCTGTGTACTCAAGTCTGTGTGTGCCCCTGCAGTCACTCATGGGTCTGACCCTGTGTACTCACGTCTGTGTGTGCCCCTGCAGTCACTCATAGGTCTGACCCTCTGTACTCACGTCTGTGTGCCCCTGTAGTCACTCATGGGTCTGACCCTGTATACTCACATCTGTGTGCCCCTGCAGTCACTCATGGGTCTGACCCAGTGTGGCAGGTGGGAGACTCTCTAGGGGCTGCTGGTCCTCAGGAGGAGGTTGCACCATTCTGTGACCATCTCCTCTCTGACACAAGAAGACGTTCTACGCCAACATGTTCAGTAGAAATAATGCAAGTCACGTATGCAGCTTTAAACTTCCTAGTAGTTGTGTTAAAAGGACACAGGTGAAATTCTAATATATTTTACTTGACCTGATATACCCAAGATCTTATTTCAACATGTTGTCTGAACTATTTCACATTTTTTTCATACTAAATCTGTGAAATGCAGATTGTAAAGAATTTTGAAATGATAACTTTTCAGATACATTGGATTATATAAATTCTACTAGAGGGCCAGTGCATGAAATTCGTGCACGGGTAGGGTCCCTAGCAGCTGCCAGCTGCTGGCCGGGGCCTTCCTTCGATCTGCGCCGCCCCCTGGTGGTCAGCACACATCATAGCGAGCAATCAAACTGGGGATTAAGCTTGCAACCCGGGCATTGCCCAGACTTGGAATTGAACTGTGACCACCTGGTTCATAGGTTGACACTCAACCACTGAGCCACACCAGCTGGGCTCTTTACTTATTTTTAACGTGCCTGCTAGAAAGTTTGAGGTTCCCTTTGTGGCTTATGCTGTTGTTCTGTTGGTGGTCTGCACCCCTGTTGCACTTCAGCTGTGGAATTGGCCATTTCCCAAAGGATCCCTGGTTCCTTAGTGGAGAACAGTGTTCAGAAACCCAGACCTAGGCATTATGTGTGGTCCTCAGTGGGCAGAGCTAGGAAAGGCCATTACATACAGCGTTTAGAAGGAACCTAGACCGATGTCTTTGTTTATATTCACCAAAACCCGTTTTTATACTGAACCTCGGATGCCATCCAGTATCCCCAGGCCTGCTTTATCTTTCTCCTTTTCGGTTTTGTAATTCCACAGTGAGAAACCTGATTTGTGTTACCCTTAATACACTTATTTGATCAAGAGTAACCAGTGTCACATCCCTTATGCCCTACTCACCCTGCTTGAGCCCTGTTTCCCCTTCCGGCCTTGCTGCTCCCATTCAGACATTCGGTTCCTGAATTTGGGCTCCAGCACCTGGACAGGTGGGCACCCTTCTCTACCTCTTCCCCACACACATGACACACAGGTGCCTTCTCTTCCTTATTCTCCTTGTGTCCTGCAGAGGAGGAGTTGGTCTTATTTGGTGGTTCGACACACAGGTGCCTTCTCTTCCTTATCCTCGTGTCCTGCAGAGGAGGAGTTGGTCTTATTTGGTGGTTGGTTTTTAAATGGAAATAGCTCCCATGTGCTTTAGAGATGGAGCCTCTAGGCTATTTGTTGATAACATGACACTTGTTGACCAGTGTCTTGTTCTGATTGCTTTGTTGAGGCTTCTGACCTATTGTAAAAGGTTGTTACTAGGTAAAGTTTTCTGTTTCAAAAGCTCCTTTTTAGAAGGTGTCATAAGGAGCTTTTCTAAGCTCTTTCATTGCATTCGTGTGCACTTTATTTGCAAGTAGGTCATAAACTCCAGGGAAGGGTATGAGAGGGGCCTCTGGTCTTTGTTCATGGAGAAACAAGTGACCATTATGGCCTTTCAGGATTGTCCAAGTTAGGCCATGCTCCTAGGCCTTTATTTTGTTGGAGCTTCAGTAGAAACCTCAACTGTAGAAGCTCAGGGCTGTCACTTCTGGGGGAGTGTGTACTCAGGCCTGCTTCCTTGCAGATGGGCTACCTGAAGAAGAGCGGAGATGGGAACCTGCTCTACAGCGTGGTCAACACGGCTGAGCCCGATGCCGACGGTGGGTGGCCCTCTCAGGGCTGTTTTCTTCTTAGAGCCTTCATGCTGTTCTAACCTCTGTTCCTATTCAGTGATTTTAAAACATTTTAACCTGTTTGTGATGTCTATTTTCCCTGGAGTGTGTGACACCGGTGGTGAAGTATAGATGAGAAGTCCTTTTGGTTTCCTGTGCCTGCACACCCCTCACCACCACACCTGACTGAGGTGGTCGCAGTGGGGGCGGAGGTGTTGGCCAGACTTTTCTGACCGAGAGTCACTAGCACAGCCAGCAGGACTGGGATTGTGCTCCCACAGAGCGGCGGATTGGGGCTGGGCTTCCTGGTGTATCGTGAGGGATTCACCTCACAAGTTCACTGAGACCTCCTTTGTCAGAAACCAGAGTCCAACTCTGCCCCACTCTCAGGCTTGAAAGAGGTAACTGTCCGCGCAAATACAAGTTTTAGAAGAAAAACCCCAGTTGATGATTATATCAAGGACGATCTTGAAGGAGGCATAAATATTGGTTCCATCCTACCTGTATGTTCATTTTTGTAAAAAATACTTTTTCATCTGCTTGGAAAGATTTCAAAGGCTTGTCCTTTGAAGAAAAGCAAAACTCACTTGAATTGAATTCACACACACGTACACAAACCTAGAAAATGAAATACTTTTCTTGGCCTTGTACCGAGTATAAACTCTGATCAGTTTCTTTGCTCTTTAGCCAGAATGAGTCTACTGTTCTTCCTAAGAGAATAGATGAGTTGACTAGCAGTTAACTTAGAAAGAGAACACGAGGTGGAGGTTCTGATTGGGGATTTGCAGAACCCTGTGTAGGTCACATGAATAGTGGGTGAATGATAGCTTCAGCATAGGAATGTGCAGCTGGGGGGTGTACAAAGGCAGGGACTCACTGTTGCTATTAGAACACATACAGCATTTCTCAGAGGTGCTGAGTGTTTAGTTTGAAAATGTTATGTGCTGGTATCATGGTCTGAGAGCTGAAGGTTTTCATTATGTTGACTTCGGGGTAATCATAAAGTGAAATTGGAGCGCAGTTAAGGTTTCAGAATTGTAGTTGGCATTTGTAAATTTGATATTAGGTGGTCTTTATGGAGAGGCCCTGGGCGCTCTCTCCCACACATAGCTACTGTGAGTTGGAGAGAGTGCTGGAGGTGCTGTGTGGGCTGGGGGCTCCGCGAACGGCCGGCTCACAGCTCTGGTCTTCTTGCAGAGGAGGAGACCCACCCGGTGGACCTGAGCTCCCTCTCCAGCAAGCTGCTCCCCGGCTTCAGCTTCACCACTCTGGGCTTCAAAGATGAGAGAAGAAGCAAAGGTGAGTGTGGGGAGGAGCACGGCTGGGAGCGTCACTGCAGAGGATCTTCCTCACTTACCTGTCTTTAGAACTGTATCCCGATTCTGATTTTGAAACCAGTAATAAAGACCATTTGAAGTGATGGGAATAAAAATGACATTGGGCAAGTTCCTCCTTTGCCATCGGTTCTTGGGTCTCAGCCCTGCACTTCGTGGAATTCTCCAGATGAGCTGTTGCCGTGATAGCGGGGACTCTTGGGGCCAGGTGCTGGTGAACTGTGGTGGAAATTTAATGTCCTCCAACAGACTCTCCATTTCATCCGCTTGGAGGGGTGGTGATGCTGCCTGCAGCCCAGAGAGATCTGTGTGTGACTGTCTCCGGATAGAATGAGGGAGGGTTTGGTTGCATTGGCTGCATTTGTATTTGTGGTTGGCTTTCTGGGTTGTTTTGGAGTGTCTGTTAGTATGTGTAGCTGTTTTGTTCCCTGGTGACATTTTGATTGTCATACTGGAGTGCTACTGGCATCTAGCAGGGAGAGGCCCAGGCTGCTGCTTCACACCCTTCTGTGCACAGGACACAGCCTTCCTGGCTCCTAACATTATTCATGCAGAGGTCCCAGCTCATACCTCCTTCAGGGCAGCGACCCTCTGGTTCCTGCCCCCCCCCCTTTTTTTTGTTAATCCTCACCCGAGGATATTTTTCCATTGATTTTTAGAGTGTAAGGGAGGGGGAGAGACACAGAGAAACATCCATGTGAGAGACAGACAGCGATTGGTTGCTTCCTGCACGCGCCCCAACTGGGGCTGCCTGCAGCCGAGGCACATGTCTTTGACAGGAATTGAACATGGGACCCTTCAGTCCTTGGGCCGACGCTCTATCTACTGAGCCAAACTCAGCCTTTACATTTCCTCAGCACGAGCCAGCCTCTGTAGGCCCAGGTCCTGGTGATGTCTGGGATGGGACATGAGCCAGCTCCAGGAAGCCCTTCTACTTGTCAGCCTCACTCCCTTACACAGCAGCCATTTGCCATGGAGGTAAAAAAAAGGGTGATGAAGTGTTTCTGCTAGTTATGCCCCCAAAGCTTCCAATAGCTCAGCTGTACTCATTAGTTCAGCAAGAATTTCATAGAGGAGAAAGGGTGCTGCAGGGGGATGCGGTGTGCGAGTGTGGGTGAGCAACACAAGGAGAAAGCTGGAGTGCATCTTGTGCCGGATGTAATTTGATGTAAATCGGCTGTTTCTTATGCTTTCCCTTTTTGTTTCACTCTTAGTCACGTTTCTCTCAAGTGCCAGTACTGCCCTTTCAATGCATAATAATTCTGTATTTGGAGACTTGAAATCAGACGAAACGGAGCTTCTGTATTCTGCCTATGGAGATGAGACGGGTGTGCAGTGTGCGCTGAGGTAAGCTGTGCACAGAGACACGGGCGGGGTACTTGCTTGCTGTGTGACAGGAGCCATTTTCCTACTGAGCAGTTCAGAGCCCATTTGTAGGCAAATGGGGGAGACAGTCACTGGCGGCAGGTTCAAATAGCAGAAATTTCCAAGTTTTTTTCAGTAAACTGTTGTGGTCTGCTGTAGGCTGGTCATGAAATTGGGGTAACTCGATCACAATTTTAAGAAGGTGGTGATCCAAGCTGTAGTTCAAAAAAGCATTTGTGTGTGTATGTGTAACTACCTGTATGTTTAGTAGGAGTTTGTTTCACAATTGTATTGAGATGTGGTTCTTGATGGCTGTATTAGTCAGCTTGGGCTGCATAACAAGCCCCACAGACAGAGCAGTGAACAATGACATCCATTGTCTCCTAGTCCCGGAGGCTGCAAGTCTGAGATGCAGGTGTCAGCAGAACCGCTTTCTTCTGGCGCCTCTGTGTTGTCTCGTCCCTCTGTGTGTATCTGTGTCTGGATTTCCTTTTCCCGTAACAACACAAATCATACAGAATTAGGGGCCACCCTGAAGACTTAATTTTAACTTGATCACCTTTTTAAAGGCCCTGTCTCCAAAAGCAGTTATTCTGAGGTGTAGGGGGTTAGCGCTTCAACCTATGAATTTTGGGGACTCGGTTCCAGCCCCTAACAGAGACTGCGATGCAATATTAACATTATAGGTGTAGTACTCTGTTTCTGTAGGACTGTGTTTAGTGTGTATTTTTTGTTTTCTGTGGAAAAATAGAAGTTGGTCATTTTTGTAGAATTTTAGTAATTTTCTATGGAAAAAGTAACTCAGTTTTACTATAGCCTCTAAGAAATGGAATCTTTTCATACTATATCTTTGTTTTATTTTTCAAAGAAACAGAATATATGAAAAATAAAAAAGTCAGCCCCTCATGCAGTAAATGAATACCTAGCCCATATTTTTGTGAGAAAAAAGGAAAAGCAGAAAAATGAGGAAATTTCTTATAGGAGAGAGTGGTATAAGTTGGTGACCCTCTCTCCACTCCTGCTTAACCTGGCAGCATCTCACAGCTCTTCAGGGGCACCAATCAGCTTTTGTTCAGGTAGCACCATGTAGCTGGGCCATGCTTGCTTCTCCAAGGGCGTTCCTGAAATGCATACAGATTCTGTCTGCCATACAGTGAAAGTCAGCGCATGAGCACCACTTGAAGGCAGACAGGCAGGGCCCCACACCACTACTAGACGCCCCACACCACCTTCCCCAGACCCTTTGTCCTGAGCACTTTCAGACCCGCTGTGAGTGGAGTGTTCTGGCCAGTCCCTGACCCCTCTCAGCAGTCAGTGTGGTGGTTTCTCATAAAATGTTTCTGGTAGAGACTCTGGTGGTGCCGCTTCTGTCCAGGAGCCCTCCTGGCTCTGTGGAGCCTTTGCCTGGCTTTGATGCTAGGACCATAGGTTTTCTGTTTGCTGCTTCCTTTACATTCTTTGGTAGTTTTATTTAGTTTTTAAAGCATTCACCTGGCCCAAAAATCAAAGTGAAACTAAAAGGTGTCCTTGGGGAGCCTGGCTCCCACAACTGCTCCCTCCCCTCTTCAGTAAGAGCTATTTACACTATGCATCTCCTCAACCTACTTGTATTTTAAAACCCAAAACAAATAGGTATGAACGTGCTTTTACAAAGCTAGCGAACGTCATCGTGTGTATGTATATACACTGTTCTTCACTTTGCTTTTAAAAATTGAGATCTTTCTAACTTTTTTGGGTCATGGACCACTTTGAGGATCTGATGAAGTTTGTTGCTCCATTTCCGATATCTACCACCTCTGGGAGGTTCGCAGCTCTCAGGAAGACCCTCTCTTGGAGGAGCGGCTGAGGTGTACTGATGTCACAGGCTTCTGCTCAGGACTGCTGGCATTGGTGACAGCAGGGTCTGGAAGATGAGAGCACATAGCGTTTGTGTCAGCATGTTCTCTCCTGGCCCTTTCCAGCCTGCAGGAGTTTGTGAAGGATGCTGGGAGCTACAGCAAGAGAATGGTGGACGACCTTCTGGACCAGATCACAGGCGGAGACCACTCCCGCATGCTCTTCCAGCTGAGGCAGGTGGGCTGTGCTGTGGTGCCACTCCTGTAGAAGGGCCCATCCAAACAACTGGATTCTCAGGGAAGGATGCTGTTTTTAGGTCATCCATCACAGTTCTTACATTATGTTTCTGTTGGACAAGGCTGGTCTGGATTTCATTTTCTTCCTTTAAAGAATGTTTATGTTCATTTTGGCAGAGTTGTTACTTCTGAATGACCTGATCTTTTTGATACTTATTTTTCTGCTTAGAAGTTTATGAAAAACATAACATAAATGAATCTCAGAAACATTATTTTGAACAAGAGGTCCCAGATACAAATGTGTACAAACTGAATGGTTAATTTTTGGGTATATCTGCAGGACTAGGGTATTTTTAAGAGAATGCTCCTGCCAGATTATAGAACAGTGGCTCAGTGCAGCATTCAGACTTTAGTCACATGTAGTAGTCAAGCATAAGCCCTCTTCCAGGTACCGTACAGGCCGAGGAGAGGGGTGTATGGCCCCATAGCTCTGCCCATTCGAGGGCAGTGGCACCATCAGGCACCCTGCCTCTGTCAGAATTCCAGCTGGTCTTGTGCAGCTCTTCCAGGTTAAATCACCAGGCCTGGTATTTTCCTGAGCTGCCCTGGAGACCCAGGGTACAACATCTGACTTTTTTTATTTTATTTTATGCCATGCAAAGCTGCAGAAACAAGGTTGGGTGTCCTCTCACCCCTTCATCTGACTTCCCCCTGTGCTCTCATGGGCACTCAGCCCCCCCCCCCCCTCCCCTGGGAATCATGGCTGGTGCTGCATGACTGGGGCCTTCAGTGGTGGAGTTAGCTGTCTCACACTTCTAGCTGCACAGAAGTATCCAGGCCCAGCTCAGAGTCACGATATACTGGGAACATAATGAACACAGCCTGAGAGTATTATCCTATATAAAATCATTTGGAAAAACTGATTTCCTGCCTGTTTTGCTTTGCAGAGGAGAAATGTCGCGATGAAGCCATCAGATGAAGTAAAGGTGAGTTCCATGGACATGTGAGTAAAAAGGGTTCTAGGAGGGCAGTTGTGCTCTGCCTTTGAAATGGGATGGTTGAGAAGAGCTTCATGTAATTGTCTTATTTAGAAACTGATTAAGTTTCTGATGAGTAAGAATAAGTGATAGTCTCTTTCCACCCCCTGACTTTTAATGGCTTAGGGCAGCGGTTCTCAACCTGTGGGTCGAGACCCCTTTGGCGGTCGAATGACCCTTTCACAGGGGTCGCCTAAGGCCATCCTGCATATCAGGTATTTACATTACGATTCATAACAGTAGCAACATTACAGTTATGAAGTAGCAATGAAAATAATTTTGTGGGTTGGTCACAGCATGAGGAACTGTATTTAAAGGGCCAGAAGGTTGAGAACCACTGGCTTAGGGTGAGGGATATAAAGCCACAGTACATTCCTCCAAATACAGACTCATGAATTCACAAGTGCCAGGCAGGGAGGACCTGCTCTGGGGCCTGCAGGGCATGCAGCAAACACTGTCTCTGCAGTGGGTTCTTCCAGTCCTGGAAGGTGTGTGCCATCAGCTGGGTGCATGTGCTCTGCACACTTGTGAGAGCAGCTTGGCAGGTCTAGGTCATTGGGACCTCACCAGCGCCTACTTTAGACCGTCTCTGTTTCAGGAAACTGTTCGTTGTGGTTCCTCCCCCACCCCCCTTTCCTGTTTCTTGGGAATGACTTGGAGCACATGTTGGAGTGGACATGCCAGGACACTGAGCAGGGCATTGGGGCCTGGGCCACAGTTGTTACCTGGGCTTGGTGGTTGGAGGGCTTGCCTGGGGCAGAAGGATCAGGTACCAGGCAGGTGAGGCTTGTTGAGTGATAGATCAGAGAAGGTGACATGGGATCTCCCTGGAGGGTGTGCTGCCCAGTGCGGCTGGGTACGTGAGGCAGTCAGGTTCTGCTCAGGGTCTCTGTCCCTGAGCGGAACCCCTTGGGGGGTTCTGAAAAGTCCACAACTGTCTTTCAGGGACTTCACTTAACAAGTAATGTGGCCGATTCCAGAACATTCTCTTTCCTTCTCCCGGTGAGCCTGTGGGATCACAGACTGCAGCCTAGTTATGCAGTTATGCAGATGCCCCTTGGGGTAGAGTGCAATCCCCACATTCATCTTGAAAAACCTGGGATGCACAGCAAGCTGCCTTGAGCTGGGAGCCTGGCACATGCTCCTGCCTTGCTGCCAGGGCCTCCATAGGCAGAGGGTTTCACATCAAGGCCAAGACAGCCCCACAGGCACGGGGGTCGTAGGCCTGGTGCCCCGTTGCTCGGGAGCAGGAGCCTCGCTTCTTCCAGTCACTGTGAGCCACTGGGTGGAGGTGGACACCTCTCCCTACTGTTCATGCTGGCGGAGGTCCTGTCTGAGTCCTGGGAGAGTGCTAAGGGTCAGTGGGGGGCGCATAAAAGGCATCCGTACAAGCCAGGCCCACGGACTCAGCATCTGTCATGTGGAACTTTTGTTTCTTGACTATTTGGTAAGGAAATTGTCACTCCAGCCTGTCAATTGGGGAGGGTACTGTCATTTAACACCAAATTGTCTAGTAATGACTTAGGATTCAGCACCTGTGTAAGAGTATGTGATTTGGCAGAATTTTGTGGGCCTTAAAATACTAGAGAATACCCTTCAAATATTAAAATATGCTATATGTTAATCCTAAAATTCTAATAGCCTGAGAGCAGCAAATTGAATGGAAGAAAATGGGGGGGGGGGGGGGGGGGGGGGGGGGGGGATAGAGTATTTCTGAGAAGATGGGGCCAGCCATTTCTGTAACAGTGTAGAGAGAGTGGGGAATAGACACAGCAGAAGACTTCCAGAGAGAAGTTGTGCCCCAGGAGATCCAGGGCTCCTGCTCCCGAGCAAGGGGGCACCAGGCCTACGACCCCCGTGCCTGTGGGGCTGTCTTGGCCTTGATGTGAAACCCTCTGCCTATGGAGGCCCTGGCAGCAAGGCAGGAGCATGTGCCAGGCTCCCAGCTCAAGGCAGCTTGCTGTGCATCCCAGGTTTTTCAAGATGAATGTGGGGATTGCACTCTACCCCAAGGGGCATCTGCATAACTGCATAACTAGGCTGCAGTCTGTGATCCCACAGGCTCACCTGGAGAAGGAAAGAGAATGTTCTGGAATCTGCCACATTACTTGTTAAGTGAAGTCCCTGAAAGACAGTTGTGGACTTTTCAGGTGCTGTGTACCTACTGGCCTGATACAGAGCTTCTTCCATGTTCCCTCAGCACCTTTAGTCCCCAGAGAGCCAACAGCCTTTGTGTGTTGGTCTAGAATTGTTGGTCTATCAGTGGTGGCGAACCTTTTGAGCTCGGCGTGTCAGCATTTTGAAAACCCTAACTTAACTCTGGTGCTGTGTCACATATAGAAATTTTTTGATATTTGCAACCATAGTAAAACAAAGATTTATATTTTTGATATTTATTTTATATATTTAAATGCCATTTAACAAAGAAAAATCAACCAAAAAAATGAGTTCGCGTGTCACCTCTGACACGTGTGTCATAGGTTCGCCATCACTAGTCTAGGTAGTGGCTCATTCGTGAGCTCATGCTCTGTGGTCCCTGGACTGTGGCATGGGCTGGACACTCCTGGGGACTGGGCATGACAGAGAAGGCCTGTCCTGCCAGTGAATGTTCACTTCCCACTTAGTAGTATCTTTCCTTTTTTTGTTTCCTGTGTCTGCAGACTGGGGACTCCCTAGGAGATGGTGGCTCTGTGCTGGATTTCATGTCAATGAAGTCGTATTCTGACGTCTCTTTGGACATCTCCATGCTCAGCTCTCTGGGTAAGTTGTGCTGGGCACATGCCTCCCTTGTAACACTGCAGTCGGATCATCAGTCTCAGCTGAAAGGAAGTGGCCCCTAGCACTGCATTTCCACTTACTAGTAGCCTGGGGGGCACAGGGCTGGTATAATGCTGCCTGTGCTTGCTCCCGAGAGGGTGGCATAGCCTGGTGAGGTGGTCATAGGTGAGTGCCCTGCTGTCCTCAGGAACACCTTCAGGTGGCTCCAGATGGGGTACGCCTGGACCTCCTTCCTGACTTCAGGCTCCGTCTTCTGATTGCTGGGTCCTTCATTCTGTTGGTGCAGGCACCTGTTGTTAGTGCATTAGTGTGCTTGTGTGTGCCACCAGGATGTTTCCTCATGGACTGCTGGCCCCCGCCCCCGTGAAATGCCCTCTGTATCTCACATAGCATCCGATCTTTTGAAATCTACTCTGCCATCCCAGCTCCCTGTTGACTAGTGGTATTCGTGGTACATCTTCTTCTCTCTTACTTTGGACACACCTGTGTTTGCACCTGCGAGCAACTCGCCCCCAGGGACATGTGGCAACATCTAGAGACATCTTCGCTTGTCACAGTTGGGGTGTGGTGCTTCTGGCATCACCTGTAAAGGCTAGAGATGCTGCTAAACCTGAAGCCCACAGAGTGACCCAGCCCAGTGTCTGTAGTGCCTTATGTTAAAAGTGGATTTCATCAAACCTTTTTAAGAGCGTAAAGTCAAGTCTTGCTTTGTCATCCATTCTGACAGTCTCTGCCTTTTGGTTGGAGTGTGTTTACACCATTTGTGTTTAAAGCAATTGTCAGTACGATCGGATTCATGCCATCTTGCTGAGCTTTTTTTTTTCTTCATTTTTCCAATATTTGGGGGTCCCCAAGACTACCCCCAGGTTCGGTGACTCCTAGGACTTAGTATATAGTTGTCCTCACAGTTGTCGTTTATTACAGTGAGAGGACACCAACCAGGCTCCCCAAAGGAAGAAGGGGTGCATCCTGGAGGCCAGTCACAGCTTCCAGAGCCCCATCCCCGTGTGTCTTACAGGATGTACCCAACCCCCAACTGTGATTGCAACAGCGCAGCACCTATGCATGGCACAGCCCCAAATTCCGGGCTCCCAGAAGGAAAGCAGGTGTTCAGCATCAATCATGCCTTTGCGAAAAGGCTTAGCGGCTTGCCTTAGCCTCAGGGAGCCCTCCTGAAATGCTTACTCAGTAAGGCAGCAGTCTGGAGCTGCTGTGATAGCACTTCCCTACACCAGCCATCCTGTTTTCCTCTGGCTGCATCTTAAGATTTTCTCCTTATTTCTGGTTGTCAGTAGTTTGGTCGTAATGTGTTTTTTTCTTTAGGTTTATTCTTCCTAGGTTATGTTCAGCTGCTTGATCCTGAGGGTTTACAGTGGTTCTCAACCTTCCTAATGCTGTGACCCTTTAATACAGTTCCTCATGTTGTGGTGACCCCCAATTTCATTGTTACAAATTGAACATAATTAAAGCACAGTGATTAATCACAAAAATAATATGTAATTATATATGTGTTTTCCGATGGTCTTAGACGACCCCTGTGAAAGGGTCGTTCGACCCCCAAAGGGGTCGCGACCTACAGGTTGAGAACCGCTGGTTTAGAGGTTTTATCAAATATGGGAAGTTTAGCTATACTCTGATTCTGCCCATTTGTTGTTGAGTCTATGTTTTGGGCTGTCCCATGCTGCATCCTCAAGGGCACTGGTCATCCCTTCTGCTCTGTTGACCTGCTGTTGTCCTTCCTGTGGTTTCCCTTCCCGGCTAGCTCCATTCTGCTTCTCAGTGTCGTCTTCTCTTTCTCACCTCATGGTCCTGGTTTCTCTGCCTTTAACACATGGAGTGTGTATCCAGTTGTCATTTTAACACCCTGTATGCTCATTTCTGCATCTCTTCACAATGTTCCTCTCTGGTCGGGGCTTTGTTACCTGCCCGGTAGTTTGTTGGAGAGACTCTGGTCACATACCTTTAAACTGTGGTGGACCTTGCTCCAACAGGCTGTTGGGAAACTTGAGCTATCGGACCCTATCTGGGTTTTGCTTTGAGGAATTCTTAGGGCGGGCACAGAGCCTCAGTGTGGGGTGAACGTGGTCCCACCCATAGGCTACATTCTTCCACATGCTTGGGACACAGATTGTCACACACATGTGTGAGCTGTTGAACTTCCTGGCGGGGCGCAGAGCAGTGCTTGGCCAAGACCTGTGAGCTCCAGGCAGCCTGTCTTCTCCAGCTCGTAGCCCACTGACTGCCTGACCCTGCAAGTCACTGCCCTGGCTATAGCCTGTGCCTGATCCTGGTCTCTGCAGGCCTCTGTCCCACACATCATCTTGTCTTGTAGCTGTTTGTGACAGGAATGCAAGGCCTCTGTCCATAAGGCCTCTGGCGTGGCACCTGGTTTCTTGTGAGGCACGTTGCCCCTCCCGTCATTCTCCACCCCTTCCACTTGCTCCAACTATATCACCCTGTCCTCCAAGCTTGCCTGTGCTCATCTGGCTTCACTTATGAGGGGTCATTGTCCTGAGTGTACATAGTGACGAATGAGAGACTGCAATTGCAGACCAGAAGTGCCAGCACTCAGTGCTTGATAGGTGGACCTGGGCCGATGTCTCATCACCTGTGTTTGCACAGGGAAAGTGAAGAAGGAGCTGGACCATGATGACAGCCATCTGAACTTGGACGAGACGACAAAGCTCCTACAGGATCTGCATGAGGCACAAGCAGAGCGTGGGGGCTCCCGGCCATCGTCCAACCTCAGCTCCCTGTCTAACACCTCCGACAGGGATCAGCATCACCTGGGTAAGGCGGCCCCTGGCCTGACCTCTGCCCCAATCTTTGATCAGTCTAGGGGGAGAGCAGGAGTGCTGGTGACTGTCAGGAAAGGCTATTGATCCTAGGGGGTTGCAGCTGGTGTGGGCAGTGAGTCCAGGCTCACGGGATTCCAGCTCCCTGGAGCTTGGAGAGCAGGCCTCCCTGGTCATGTGGGCACTGAGGAGAAGTGTTTGAGTGGAATTCAGTTTGTGTTACGAATTTGTGGCCTTGGCCATAAGATGCTGGCAGTCTGTGTGTCAGGAGGAGTTCTTGGTGGCTGCATACTGAGGCCCTGGGTCGTGGCAGAATGAGGCCATGGCTGTAGACCCTGCAGCCATGCAGAGTTAGACATTGGAGTGTTTGTTTCTGTCTGTTTTTCCCATGTTTAGTTGTAAAACAGTGTGTTGACAAGTTTATTTCTCCAGGTTCCTTATTTGGGGAGAGCACCTGACCTTCCTTGGCCAGGGGCGGGCCCATGTTTTTTGTTATTTGTTGTAATTCTCACCCGAGGATATTTTTCCATTGGTTTTTAAGAGAAAGAGGAGCATCAATGTGAGAGAGACACATCGATTGGTTGCCTCCTGCATGCAACCCAACTGTGCTAGGAATAGAACCTGCAACCCAGGTATGTGCCCTTGACTGGGAATCAAACCCCAAACCCTTTGGTGTGTGGGCCGACGCTCTAACCATTGAGGCACTGGTCAGGGCAGGGCTCCTGTATTTAATGAGTATCATAGCCCTGCCAGGAGGGGAACCAAATATTTGCCTCATGACTCCTTGAATGTCTGTGCTACTGTTTTAGTTCCCAGGTAGGAATATTGAATTATTCTTTCTGAGAATAATTGGTGGGAGAAAGTAATCAGCTTCAGAGTTTTGGCGAAAAATGAATAAGGACCAGTATTTCTGGTCCCATTAACCTTGTAAGAAACCTCCCATGAAGTAGGTTCCAGGTAGAGCCCTAGGTTGGCTCCAGATCTGAGGACTCCATCATCCTGGTGGACTCCAGGGGGGGGTAAGGGGGAGGTATGGGGGGACCTAGGGTTTGTCTGAGGGACTCCTGGCCAAGAAGCCTTTGTTCCTGCAGAAGGCAGGGCCAGCCTCTAGCTTCAGGGTGTTTACAGCCGTGTCTGTGACAAGTGGCTCTCCGCCTCCTCCCCAGGAGTGGTGGGGGTGGTACCCTGGGCGGGATGAGGGGGTGGCCTGCACCCCAGGAGCCATTGCTCTGGGCTTTGCTAACAGCAGACACGAGATTTGAGCCTGGACCATACAGATCTACTGAAATGTCTTGTCTTTCCCATGCGTGCAGGAAGCCCTTCTCGCCTCAGTGTCGGTGAGCAGCCAGAGGTGACCCATGACCCGTACGAATTTCTTCAGTCTCCAGAACCTGCAGCCTCTACAAAGAGCTAGCCTTGTAGATAGTCATTAATTGTTTTTCTTTGTTTTGTTTTTATTTGCATGTACAGAATTTTTGTTGTGAGACAAAGACTATCATGTTCCCTTGGGCCTGCAGGAAGCAGCGCAGGGAGGGGGTGAATTGTCTCTGATCATGTCGGCCGCATGTGGACCCAGTGTTTCTGTAGATAGTCCTGTGAACCTGAATAGTGGGAACCCTAAATAAAGGGAGTGTAAAACTGGTGTGGTCTTTCTCTGAGCTTCGTGGTGTCAGTGAAGCCCTTCTCTGCGGCCGGTGGCGCACCTGTTCTGCCCCGTGTCCCCTACAAGTGGCCTTTGGGAAGCAGAGTCTGTTGGGGATCCTGTATATTCTTTCCCACTGTCCCCCCACATCCCCGCATTTCTGAGGCAAATCATGGTGGGGGCCATACAGAAGCACATGGGGAGCCGGTCGAGCACCCTCCTGGTCCTGGACAGGCAGGGAGTTGCGTACAGCTTCCCTGTGCTTAATTCATGTGCCTGAGAAAGGAGTACATTCTGCTGGAAGACTTGGAGGTCAGCTGTCTTACCAGTTACGATGAAGTGTTATGTCCATAAAATGTTCTTTATTCTAGATATGTTTGCTGGATGCCTGCTTATATTGGCAAAGTATAAAGATCTTAATAAGATACACAAAGAGTGTAATTGTATAGAATTATTTACAGCACTACTAGGTGTCCACTTTTGTGTGACTTTTCAGTAAAAATCCTTTGTCACAAGAGTTTGACCGTGTCCATTTTTCCTGCCATCTCCTCAGCATCTAGCCTGGTTCTTGGCCCCTGCAGTGATGTCTAGGGATCCCTGCACAACTTTCTGCTCTGTCCCCTTTTTGTGAAAACACAAATGTGGAGAATCAGTTACCTTCCAGGTTGGCAGTCCTGGGGGAAGAACGTGTGTGACTTGGAGATAGTGGACAGTGGGATAAGTCTGGGCCCATGAGCATTGCTGGACAGGGCCCTGCTGGCCGCTCCCTGCCTGGCGAGAAGGGCTGGCTGAAGCCCTGTGTAGGGTAGATAAAGGTGCTCCGCCTTTTGGAGAAAGGGAAGCAAAACCTGTCACAAGTGAACCATCAAGAAGCAGCTATGGCCCCGCTGGCGTGGCTCAGTGGCTGAGCATCAACCTATGAACCAGGAAGTCATAGTTTGATTCCTGGTTGGGGCACATGCCTGGGTTGTGGGCTCGGTCCCCAGGGTGGGGCATGTAGGAGGCAGCCCATCAATGATTCTCATCATTGATGTTTCCTTCCTTCTCCCTTCCTCTCTGAAATCAATAAAAATATTTTTTTATTGATTAAGTTATTACATATGTGTCCTTATCCCCACGTTACCCCCAATCCAGGCCTATATGCTTGCATATAAGTCCTTTGGTTGATCTCTCCCCCTTAATCCCACCCTCCTCTACCTTCCCTCTGAGGTTTGACGGTCTGATCGATGCTTCTCTGTCTCTGGATCTGTTTTTGTTCATCAGTTTATGTTGTTCATTATATTCCACAAATGAGTGAGATCATGTGATATTTCTCTTTCTCTGACTGGTTTATTTCACTTAGCATAATGCTCTCCAGTTCCATCCATGCTGTTGCAAATGGTAAGAACTCCTTTTTTACTGCAGCAGAGTATCCATTATGTAGATGTACCACAGTTTTTTAATCCACTCATCTATTGATGGGCGCTTAGGCTGTTTCCAAATCTTAGCTATAGTGAATTGTGCTGCTATGAACATAGGGGTGCATATATCCTTTCTGATTGGTGTTTCTAGTTTCATTGGGATATATTCCTAGAAGTGGGACCACTGGGTCAAATGGGAGTTCCATTTTTAGTTTCTGTTCACAGTGGCTGCACCAGTCTGCATTCTCACCAGCAGTGCATGAGGGTTCCTTTTTCTCCACATCCTCGCCAGCACTTGTCGTTTGTAAAATATTTTTTTTAAAGCAGCTGTGACTTACGAGGAGCGGAAAACGGATTTTTTTTTATCATTGCTCAAGGATATGTTTTTATTTATTTGAGAGAAAGAGAAACATTGATCTCTTGCCTCCTATTTGCGCCCTGACCAGGAATCGAACCCACAATCTTTGGTGTATGGGACAATGCTCCAACCAACAGCCATCTGGCCAGGGCAGAAAAGAAGCTTTTTAAAGATATTTTTATCTTTATCTTTACTTACACTTTGTCAATATAAATTTAGGCCCAGCCTGGGGCAAGGCCTTTTTGCTCAGAAAGCTGCAGGCCCGCAGGAAATGAACATGAAGGAATCGTCAGGCCTGGAGGAACCTCTGACCCAAGGACTTCATGTTTTGTTAAATCTTTTTATTTTGGTAAAATCCACCTGAGAAAACCATTACCCATTGTCAATACACAATTCAGTGGCCTTTGCACCTTCACGGTGTTATTTCCATTACCCAAAGGGAAGCCCTGTACCCAGGTGTGTGCACACATGTGAGTGCTCAGGTGAGCTGTGTGTGAGCACCTTTGCCTGGCCAGCCTTGTGCCTACCTCTGCTCCCTCCTGTGGCTGTTCCCTGGCCCTCCCGCCCACACCAACCTCCCTCACCTGCAGTGTAGACCCTTGCAGTGAGGGGGCGTTCATCAGGACCTCAGACGTGCACAGCAGAACAGCATGCAGGTTCACAGAGCATTATAATGGAAAGTCTTGGACCACCTGGATTTCAGCGTGTTGATCAGTCACACTAGATGTGCAGTCCGTAAAGTCAGTGTGGAGCATCTGCGTTGGAAGGGACGACAGCGTGCTGCAGTTAGGGGACAAAAGTAGGCTGTGACGTGGGCCCCACAAAACATTGGTCACATTTGAGTCCCTGTATGCGTGTCTATGCTCAGAAGGCCTGGTGGCCCCAAGCTGGAGGCCTGACTTTGCTGGTTCTCTGTTCTTCTCTATTTCCTAATGTTTATACAGTGAACCTGTTGTGGCCACCAAGAGGGCGATCAACTCAGGTGGCTGTGCCTGTACCCTGATTTTGTAGCTTCTAACGTTATTTTCATGAAGCAAAGATGACCCTGAGGTAGGGTCATTTCTCAAAGGCGTGAGTGGCTGAGGTCACTATGTCTCTGGGTCAGTCTGGAGAACCCCACCACCTGCAGACTTAGGGTGCCCTCGGGTAGTGCATTCCCCACCCCTCAAGCCTGGCCTCCTTCAGTGTCACACGGGAACTGTTTGGGGGCCTGCCAGCCTTCAGGACAGCAAGTGTTGAGGTCATCTGCCCCTAGAGTAACGGTAGTGCGGCACCCTGCACCATCCATGGTCTGTGCATGTTTGTGTCGGGAAAAGCATGTTCTGTGTACGAGGCAGGACAGCGTTAATCTTTAGTTAGCAGGAAGCGCTTTCAAGAACTGTGAAGGCCACACTGACCAACAGCTTGTGAGGTGAATCCACTGAGACGTTGCCGTCCAGGAACTGGGCTTCCTCAGTCAGTCCTTTTGGAAGTGTAGGTGCCTTAGACTGACCGCCCTCCCTGAGGGGTGCCGTGCCCTGGTTGTCAGTTACCGTGATCATGGCTCTGATGTCTCCGCAATCTGTGGCCTCCGTGTGCCGTTGGCTAGTTTCTCAAGGATCAGAGACCCAGTCCAGCAGCCCAGCTGTCTACCCTGTGTCTCTGGTAGTGCCTTGGTCTGGCACCCGATGGGACCTTGGCAACAAGGGCCTGGCCTGGGCAGCACCATGGACAGCGGTGCCCAGCAGCCAGAGTGGCTATCTGGTCAGCTGTGGGTGTCTGGGCTCTAACCTCACTTGGACATGGCTTCTAGGTGGAGGTCAGTGTAGCAGAGCTGTGTTGGTGCCAGCTTGGGCCTGCCCAGGCCTGCCCACAGGTGGTACTGGTGTCCAGGAGCCCTGGGAGACAGCCACCCACCCCACAGTGGCCTGGTGACAAGGCCTCCGGACCCCTCATTCCCTGGGGCCTCTGAGGCTGGTGATCCCAGGAAAGCTTCTCAGGCCGTCTCCTGCTCACCTGTGGTCTGCAGAGGTTTCCAGGGTAAGTGTCCCTGTCATCCCCAGGGTGCTTTGTTCCTGTGCTGTTTCTTAGGATGACACTGCTGCAGTGTGAGAAAATGAAATTCCAGCTGAGTGGGGGGAGGTGGGGAGGGCATGAGCCAGGTGTCTGGGCAGAGTGGACTGATCACAACCAGAGGTCCACCTCAGCACCAGCCCTGCGGGCCCATCTCCCACGCCCGTGAGTGGTGTGTGCAATGTGTGTGTGCATGTGTGGTGTGTGGTTTATGTGGTATATGTGTGTGGGTGTGGTGTGTGTGGTGTTGTGGGTGTGGTGTAGTGTGCATGTGTTCACATGCTCATGAGTGGTGTGTGTGCATGTGTGTTTGGTGTGTGGTTTATGTGGTATATGTGTGGGTGTGGTGTGTGATGTTGTGGGTGTGGTGTAGTGTGCATGTGTTCACATGCAGTGGCAGTATCAAAGCCATGTGTCAGGTAGGGTAGGAAGGAGAGCATTTTCCTCGCTCTCACTGGGGCCTGACCAGTTTGGCTGCATGGCAGTGGCTTGAAGTGGGCTCAGTGAGGAGTGAGGAGCCTGCCGCGTCTGCTGTTGCTGGTTGGGTGTGGGAACCTGGCCTGGCCGCTGCCTTCTGTCATTGGGGCATGCGGCCTCCGCGGCACTATCCCAGCCCTGCGGTCCTCACCTCACTCCTCTCAAGCAGTGTGGAGGAATGGGTCTGTGCCATTGGCAGACGAGACAGCACTACGGTTTCTAGGCAGGGTAGAGCTGAATCTCAGTAGGAAGTGGTATTTCCAGAAATGCCTTGAAGTTGGATGGATGGGTGGCTGGAGGGGGAGGCTCTGATTCTTTTGATGCAGGGGAAGGGACTGTCTCCAGATGGGCACTTTGTCCACACAAGGAGACAGTGGGGGTGCTCACGGGAAGCCCTCTTGAATTGTGCCCGTTTCACCCAGAAGGAAGCAGGAAGTACCACATTTGTTGACAGCCAGGTGTTTGGTCCCAGGTTTTTTTAACTGATCTGATCTCCCAAGAGATAAGAGTTTGAACTAGAAACATTTTCCCTTTTGCACATATTTCAAACTGGGTGAAAAGAACACTTGGTTTTTATTCATGGAGATGAGCGCAGCCCCTGCTGAGAGCGGAGGGGTGAGAGGAGGGTGTGCAGCACCTTAGGGTGGGGTGGCATCCAGCCCCCCTGTTTCTGAAGAACCGTCTAGATCCCAAAGCCCAGCAAAGCGCCTGGGAGAGCTCCGCACAGCACCTGGAAAGTGTCGGGCTTCAGCCACCGCCTGCAGATCATCTGTGTCCTAGGAAACCGGGGTACGTGCATGCCTCGCACTCATCATTTTGGCATATGTCATCTTGCTGGCACCCTGCCTTCTGACCAAGCGTGTCTGCTGACAGTTGCACAGACTCATAGCTCTGTCATCAGGCGTTGTTTCGACTTGATTTTATTGTAGATTTGATTCAGACATAATTGTAGATTCATTTGCTCACCACTGGGTAATTTTCAGATGTGATGGCGTGAACATTTTCGGTGTTCTTTGAGTCTCACATTTCAAGATCTTTCAGTTTGCTCCCACACTGTAGTGATAGTTTGGTTTCATCTATTTTAGGTTTAAAAGACTATCAGAACTTGAAGAATTGCTCTGTTTTAAATTCTACAAAATCTGCCCAGCCAAGGTGGCTCAGTGGTTGAGCATCGATCGACCTATGAACCAGGAGGTCATAGTTCGATTCCCGGTCAGGGTACATGCCC